CCAAAATCCACTTCCAATAATCGAAACCAAAAAAAGAAGGTAAAAATAACGTACTTCAAGTATCTGGTATCAAGTTATTCAATCCTCCGAGTCAGCAAAAAGCAGCCAGGCATTATTCTTTTGGAGCACCAGCACACAGAGGAACAACAGCAAACAAAGCTGTTGAGCATTAGTCTTTTGGAGCACATATAGTTCTGACATACTTCCGTTACTTGGAGATAACACTAAACTTGTGCCACAACTCGGCAGTAAAAGGGCATACATAAAGAAGAGGTAAAATTGGAGGGGGAGAAAAGGTAAACTAGAATGAGGAGGAAAAAAAAAGTTGTAAAAGACAATTTTAGCTCACAATGATACAAGCCCCAACAAATGACTCTTACTTGCAGTTAACCAAATACGCATCCCACCCTTGAAGCCGGTATTCACGAGCTGCCTCTATGGGGTTGGCGGCCTTTATAATTCCACGGCCAACTATAATGATATCACTGCCCCTATCAGCAATTACCTGAAACCATAAATTCTTAGAGTGAGAGCTCCTAAAATAATTTTCTGTCATGTTAAAACTAGAAAAATTCTAATAAAACCAATTAAAAGGTAGCTGGGAGTAGGACGAAACAACCCCCACCTCACAGCCCCCACATAAAAATAAAACAAAAAAGTTTTGTATCATGCAAATGCTGCTGAACAACAGACCAAAACACCCTAAGTAATAGCACAACAATATGAAAATGTTCAATCTCAACGACTTTATGCTACTCATATAGTCAACACAAAAGTTTGGTTCCCTGGGGTCTTGTTAAAGCACACATTTTCTGCAACTGACAATTCACATGCAAGGGTGAAGTATAAAACACAGAAGTGTCATAAGCTAAGTTTTGTAGGAACTAACAACTTCTTCCTTTCTAGCTTCAAGCATCCGGTGTCCGAAACACACTGGCCCTAATTCAAATCTGCACAGTACAAAGCCCGCTATCAGGGGTTTTAGAGTTTCCCATATAAGAGGACTGATTCCCAGGTCTTGGATCGGAAAGGTTTCCAAAGTGAAAGAACCTTTACCATTAACACCACACCCTTCGGTGGGTTATAATTTCTTTCTACATCATTACATGTACTTTCAATCACTAACTCATCAGTGCAAAGCCATCTTATGGATAAAAATTGCTCCTCTAGCTCATTATTTTAAAAGAAAATCTTTTCTAGTTTAATGCTGTGAGTGAAGAGTCTTTTACAATTCCAAAAAATATTGTACATTCATGAAAAGGATAAGAGGGTAGACAAATTCCAGAGTACAATACGGGTTCAAATTCTCTTAGTACACTGGAGATAAATGAGTTAATTTAAGCATTAACTATTGCAAAGTGTTGAGTAGAGGTACAACTGCAATAGGCTCTCACTGTAGTTGAGCCATGATTGTTATCAAGCAAGGGTCAAAACATATAGACGCTGAATAGGTTTATCTGTACTCTCCTTCAGTGGGAGTCTCTTTCATAGTTTGTTACTCCCTCCATGCATTTTATGCGACAGTGTTTGAATGGGCACAAAGTTTAAGAAAGAAAGAAAAACTTTTGAAACTTATGGACTAAAAAAAACCATAAACATTTGTTTGGCTAGAAATAATCTCATTAAGTGTAAAATGGGAATTTAGAGTTAAATTATTTTTAAATATAGGTGTCATTCTTTTGGTACAGACTAAGAAGGAGTGCCACATAAAATGAGACAGGGAGTATTACATGTTTCACAAACACATGAATCATACATGCAATTAATTCCATGTAAAACAATGATAGAGTTATATATTCATACGTATGCTAACATAAATATGTACAATACAACTGCGTATTTTGTTTATTTAGGCGCAGTAGAGCTTAGAGACAGTGCCAGGTAGAGTCAAATCATAATACTCACAGGAGAGCCCTCTAAGAATACGTCATCCATTTCTCCCCCCTTAGGATTAACAAACAATGACTGATAACTGCCTCAGATACCAAGACTACAAGCGAAGGCTTGTCCCATGCATGCATAGCTGTTCTGATAGTTATGATTGAGGCTAAGGTATAAAGGAAGGATTTTCAAACACCTAAAGAATGTTGTGAAATTTCAACCATTGACCGAGGCTCATCAGTTCGCCTTGATGGGTTCCTATCAATTACTGGAAGCGCGGCAAATATCCTAGCTACCAATAACGGGCGCTGTTGCCTCCTCTCAAGTCTCTGATGGATTTGGGGCTCTCAACCATTTACATAATTGGCGCTTTCCTAGTTTCTTAACACTGTAGGAATTGTTTACTTGCTTCCTCTATTATATGCAGTTACTAATAGAAATGTTTGGTTCATGGTGTCAATAAATTGTGTGTTGAACTAGAATGCCACAGGGACATGGTACCAAATGATATGTCATTGAAATATGGAGCTGGCAGTCAAAGGGATCAAACTACGAAAAGAAGAAAGTGAGGTGGCTGACTGGTTCTGTAACTAACAAGAGTTTGAGAAGTTGCAAAGAAGATAAAGAAGCGGAAAATTAGGGAGCTCTTTTGGCTTTCCAGGATGAAGAGGAGTTCAAAAGAAGCAGCTGCTAAAAAATCATCATTTATCAAGAAAGGAGACAGTCAATCGTCTGAAAAGGAATGGACACACTCTTCCGGCCAACTTACAGAATCATTCCTTAATGAACCAGCAACTTCAACGTAGGCGATAAAGGAGTAGCAACTAGCAAGTAGTATAGCTCATCTTTTAAGAAATGAAAACTAAGATAGGACCGGAACATGAACATTTTATGGTAGCAACCAGGACTTACTGCAGATGGAGTGTTATATAGTTGGCCAAGAGCATCTCCACCTTTGACCAACTGAACACCAGGCGTAGCATGGATGAGGGATGGGTTTCCTGGACCATTAGGCCAAGAAGCAGGATTTACAGAGATGAATCCAATGACAAAATCTGAGTGATCCTCAGCAATTTTTACTGCTGCTGCCGTGTAAGCTCCCGTGGCTAGGTTACCAGCAGAACTCATTTCAGCAAGAAGCAACAGTCCCCTACCACGTGACAAGCCCTAAGTACAAAAGAGTGGAATCAGATCTAAATAGAATTTTCTGTAGCTCAGCAGCTTAGGTATCAGTAACACCAAACAAACCTTCAGTTTCAGACCATCCACAATTCCAGGACCAGAAATAATGTGTGCATTAGTTATATCAGCCCAATCTAAAATGCGAAAGATACCTCTGCAGACAAACAAGACAACTTAGGGAGATTAACTTTAGCAAAAAAAGGAATATGAGAAAGAAATAGTAATCTGACATCCCTCACCCTTCATATTGCATCGTCACTGTATTTCCAATGTCAGCAAACTTACGATCTTCAAATATTAAAAAGTTATGTTTGTCTGCAATCTACAGAAGAAAAGAAACAAGAGTAAGCACTCAACATAAACTTTAATATCTATCTACTGTCAAAAACAAGAATTATTTTTAACCCTGTTTAATATCATTTTTCCATTCAACTTGCAAAGAGTGTCCATGTCAACCTAACATTGGCAGGCATTATTTAAGCCAACAAGCACTTCTATCACATCGTATGCTGTTATTATGACCAAACATTTAGTACACTGCTCCAGCTATCAGCCCAGGAAACAAAATCATTTTCCAGATAAATACCTAAACATATGGCAACTCCTTGGATGCAGTGATTGAACTTCCTTTTTTTTTAAATAAGTAGATGCAGTGACTAAACCTTTTAGACTAGAGTTGCAATCCTGCCGCCAGCTAGCTCATATATCTTATTCAATAGCTCATGCACATAATGAAGGAATAAAGGAACTCAGAAATATGTTAAACATGGTCTAAAAGTTTCTGCACTAGAGAAAAACTGGAGCAATAACGACATCATCATCCACCAATCATGTCAAAGAGTAACTTACCGATCTAAGTTTAGAACCGAAGTCAGGAGTGAAATCAGGCAATATATCAACATGTGTTTTTAACATGCATATTTCAGGTCCAACCTGCACAGGAAGATTTGAAATAACTTGTCAAAATATTACACATTAACGCACAAACATAAACCATTGGACAAAGATTAAATAGGAAAGTAGGAAATGCCGCTTGCTTTCCTTCTGTCACACCAAAACACAGGAGGTTTAGGACAATTCATATGCTAAATGCAGCTGCTAGTCGTTACACTCTGATACCTTTGTAAACCTTAAGAGTCTCATTTTCTCTGTTCATTCGACACCCAAAGACAAGGTAATAAAGTCTCCACAATGTTGTGACACAAATTCAAATTTAACAAGAAAGAACAGCAGAGGAGTGGTGATTTTCATATCTAACTAGCCCCGTTCCTTGTTTGCAGAACTTGTTATACATGCACAATTGCTTAAGGTTGCTTACATCAAAGCCGAGGAAACAATACCTTATTCAAGAATGCTTACAAAAAAAAAAAAGGAAAAAGATACTTTTGAGTTTTGATCACCTTGTCAGCAATATCTAGCAATTCCGCAGCTGTGGCCACATCAGCAGAAAGGCACAAGTTAGTCTCCTTTTGCACCATAATTTCAAACAACTTCTTCCCTGTCGGATTTTTCGCAATCTTTGCCCTCTCCTGATACGGTAATCTGAGACTGACCTTAGTTTCCTTCACTGGAACCGCAACTTTGCGGTTCTCCTCTAAGAATTTCTTCACCATTTTTTCTGTTTCCTCTGAAACTCTACCCTTTTCCTTTAGTATCTTCACCATCTCAGTCAGTTTTACCATTGAATGCAATGTGATTCCATTCTCAGCCAAATTTTCCCTTCCTCCTTGCTCTCTGCCCAGAAACAATCACCAAACGACTCACTTCAGGAAAAGATAATAGCTCAATATTCACCAATAAATCGCAAATCCATTCTAATTGGAATTTTCCAAAAGACTCACTAACACCAAGTGTAAAAAATAAGGCACTAAACATTCTATCACTTGCTACAAAAAACAAAAAAAAAAAAGGTACAACCAGTAGATTACTACAATTATATGCCACCATTTTTCTCCATTTGTGTTGATTATGCATATGCTTAGCTCTGAACTCCAACTTCTACAAACTTTCCACTAGTTTTAATGCGCTATACCCTAACTGCTGCACTTACTATCACATTCTTCTTGCAAATTTTTTTTTGGAAAAAACGGTTGCAACCATTTAATTTTAATGTGATACTATTTCCTTTTTAGTATATCCCAAAATAAAATAAAAATCTTTTTATATCAAAAAGATATTTATCTTTAAACTTTCTATTTTACAAGATATTTATAGTCACGCAAATGTCTATTCCAAAGATTTTTTTCTTACAGCTTGTTTGGATGGTTGTTTTATATCGTTTCATAATGTATCGTATCGTATTGTATTGTACTGTATCGTTTGATGAATATAATGTTTGGATGGATTGTGCGTTTTGCCGTCGTTTCATGTTATCATGCACCAATAATATGATGAATAAGCTTGCAATATTATAAAGAAAAATTATGATACGGTACATAAAAAGGTAGGGTAAATGATAAAATAAAATTATTTAATAATAATGAAAGGTGAAATTGAGAGAAAAGGACAAGGTAACGACGCGACCACACCAAATCTGTCGTTACATAAAGTGGCACATTTCATCATTACATAACGATGAATTTAACGATACGATAAAATTTAAGTAACAATCAAAACAAACATTGTATTTAAGTAACAATACGATACAATATAATAGGTAACAACCATCCAAACAAGCTGTAAAATACGTGCCTAGTACTCCTTTCATATGACACATATATATATTTGAAAATAATTTAACTTTAAATTTTTTATTTACCCGTTTTACTTTTATTGAGAAGTTTTTATAGTCATACAAATATTATAGCCACCTGCCCATTAAGCTTTTAATGTTACAAGTTTCAAAAGTCTTTTTTTTATTCTTAACCTCCATCCCGAATCAAACTATTTCACCTAAATTGAAACTGAGGGAGTACATCTTAACTTTAGAAAACGAGAGTTGTGCTACTTTCAATAGTACTTGAGGAAAAAAAAACATTTCTTTAAAAGGTAAAGTGTAGCAGTACTTCAGGAAAAGTTTTTGTACGAGTAAAAGAAAGAAATTGTACCAACCTATCAATCATGACGACAGCATCAGTAACGGTTAACCCAGCGGCACGAAGAGGCGCAGCAGTCTCAAGTACGGAAGCACCACTAGTAACCAAATCCTCAACAATAAGACAAGCTTGACCTGGCTTAAAAGCGCCTTCAATCGCCTTCGCAGTACCGTAATCCTTAACCTCCTTACGGCGCATGAGCATAGGCACGTCATGAGCAGTGGAGATACACGTGGCAATAGGGAGAGCCGTGTAAGGCACGCCGCACACGACGTCGTATTTGGTGGAAGACGGGAGGGAACCGACGAGCGTTTGGGAAATCTGACGGAGAATCGAAGGGTAAGAGACGATTAAACGGAGGTCGATGTAGATTGGGGAAGAGATCCCGGATTTCAGCTTGAATTCCCCGAATTTGACGGCGGAGATATCGTGGAGCTGGAGGATTATTGATTCCATTGTTTCGGATACCATTGTGTTGTTTTTGTGACCTTTTAGAATAGGAAGAGAGTGAGAGGGTGGCTAGAGTCCAAGTTTGAAGAAAATGGCGCTTATATAGAAGTCGCTTTCATATTGGAAACTGGGAGGTTTTTATTTAGGGCTTTTGCTATACTATCTTTTGTTTTTTCTATTTTACATACTATTTTGATTTCATAAAATACTCTTTTTAATACTTTTTGAATAATTATTTGATCTTCTTTAATAATAAAAGTGTTTGTGAAAACAAAATTCTATCGCCCTTAACATTTCGCTTAGGGGTTATTTGGTTTAGATACATATAAGAATTAGGAATGAGGCGATTGTAATATATGAATTAGTAATATACAAATTATAATGTAATGGTTGTTATACTTTTTTTTCAATTGTGAGATATTACGTTATTTTAATCTATTACAAATATTATTTTAGTTGCATTATTTTAATAGGAGATTAATAGAAAATAATATAAGATACTAATAAATAGACCAAGTGACAACTTTAAAAGGTTATTTTTTTTAATTCAAATTATAAGTGAGTATAGGAGATTATTCCCTCTTTTTAATATTTTGAACATAATAGAAATATTTGTCTAAATTGATTTTTTATCCAATTAAAGCAATAATGGTGAATTTGAAAAAGGAAAAAGTGATAAAAATGCATCTTGATTTCTAAAATGTCAAATATTTAGAACAAACTCAATGTGTCAAGATAGCTCGCATTTGGGATCAAAGGTAGTATAAAATTGGCCAATTGCGCTCTTCGTTCTAATTTGCTTTGTCATCTTTTAAATTTTCTATGGATCTTTGACAAGTTTTTGCAACGATTATTTAGAAATTTTTTCCAAAGATTTTAATAAAAAAATCCAAAAAGACACTATTAATAGAACGGTAAGTATTCATAAAAGAACGTGCTTAATAAAAGAAAGAGAAATGGTTAGCCGATCTCAAAAATAATAATCGATAAAATATATATATTTCTCTGTACATGTGTATATATATAGAGAAAGACGGAACCAGGATTTTAATCGTTTGAAGTTACTAGGTTCTAGACTAATAAATTATAGATATTCAATTAGATTTTTAAGACAAATACATGATTCAAACCAAAGTTACTGGTATATATATATATGTATGTATACGTATGTGTGTGTGTGTTTGGGGGGGGGGGGGAGCCCGTGCCTCGCCTGGGTCCAATATGAACAAAGCTTCATAGTTTGAAACTTTATTAGATTTACGGGGAAGCACCAAAAAAACTTGAAAACGCAATAGCATAAAAAGGGAAGTAGAGAAATTGAATCAAAACTAGATTTGTCCTAAAGAACTGATTTAAAACCGTGTTATAACAATTTATTATTTAAATAGCTATGCAGCTTTCCAGTGTATAGCTAAAAATGCTTTGAAAAAAGTTAGCTTGCAGAAGAAATGTAGATTGCCTTTGTAGAGTAGGAATAATTGATTTAAACCCATTGAAATCCAAATAGCCATTCAACGCAGGTGCATGATTTTACAAAGCAGTGAAGTGATGAAACCTTATGTGTAGAGGAAGTTTCTGAAAAGCTCTTAGTAATCCTTACTTACACTACAACTAAATGATATGACATGTCAGTCACATTTAATTTGTTCATTGTAATATTGGATTACACGGTAAAAACCGACAGAAAGAACCTTCTGAAAGTAAGAGCATCAACTCTTGAGGCGTATATGAGTGAAAGACGTGGACACATTGTGCAATATCTTGTGTTGAAACTATTCTAGTAGCTGAAGGAATTCAAGAAAGATGGTATGGAAATATTTTTTATTTCTTGTGTGATATGTACAATATTATTCCTATATTTATACAAAGAAAAGAACCATCACCGTTGGCTATAATTTGTGTGTATCATTACATATACATGTGCCCATCACATTGTACACAACCTATATCCCCTTGTGTCCTCCGCTTTGAGTTGTCACCTCAACTTTGAGCCTATGTCTGAACACTACTTCTTGTCGGGGCCAAAGTAATTTTTTCTGACAACATCCCCTCAAGTTGGAGACCCCAGATCGGACTCCCAACTTGCCCATCAAAGAACGGTGAAGCGGCCCGGAGAGGGCTTTTGTGAAGATATTAGCGATCTGAGATGAAGATGGAACAAAAGATAGAGAAATCAATCCATCCAGCAATTTTTCACGAATGATATGGTAGTGTCAAGCTCAATATGCTTAGTTCGTTCATGAAAGATGGGATTTTTTGCTATATGAATTGCTGCTTGATTATCACAGTGCAAAGGTACAGGCAAAGATGGAGGAGCAGTGAGATTTTGAAGAAGGCGAACTACCCAGGCAATTTCAGCCACCAATCAACGCATTGATCTATACTCTGCTTCGGCCGAGGAAAGGGCAACAACCTGTTGTTTTTCGATTTCCATGAATTTGGCGAACCGCCCATGCTTAAGAAAAATCCACTAACCAAACGCCGAGAATCAGAACAACCAGCCCAATCGGAATCACAGTAGGCAACAAGCTGAAAAGAAGAATCTGAAGACATAAAAAGTCCAAGCCCTGGATCTTTACACAAGTATCGTAGGGTACGAAGTGCTGCCTGATAATGCCCAGTACAAGGCTTTTGCATGTATTGACTGAGTGTCTGCACGGCAAAAGCAAGATCCGGTCGTGTATTAGTTAAAAAATTGAGCTTTCCAATCAATCAGCGATAAATGGTAGGTCAGAAAGGGGAGTTCCACACTCAGAAGAGAGCTTAAGAGATGGATCAAGAGAAGAAGAAGCATGTCTGGAAGCTAAGCAATCAAACTCAGTGAGGAGGTCTAGAGCAAATTTCCGTTGTGTAACCACTAATCCATTTTGTTCGCGTACAAGTTCTAATCCCAAAAAATAATGCGCCTCACCCATTCAGCGTTCAAGAAATGTTTAATGTCTGCAACTTCTTTGGCATTGTTCCCTGTAATTAAGATATCGTTGACATAAACTGCAAGGATAGTGACCAATTCACCAGAGATCTTAAAAAAAGGGAATAGTCATTAAGTGATGATTTGAAACCCCTTGTACCTAAAGCAGCAGATAAACGAGCGTACCGCTGGTGAGATGCTTGTTTAAGACCATACAACGACTTGTGTAGTCTACAAGCAAGAGAAGAAGAAGAAGGAATTAAACCTGGAGGAAAGCGCATGTAAACTTCTTCATCCAAATCGCCATGTAAGAAGGCGTTGTTGACATCCAACTGGTACAATTTCCAATTTCTTTTCACTGCAATGGTAAGAATACATCGAATCGTTGTCATTTTTACTACTGGCGAGAACGTTTCTATATAATCCAAACATTCCCTTTGTGTATCCCCTCTAATAACAAGACGTGCCTTTAATCTTTCCAAGGATCCATCTGACTTTAACTTCACTTTATATATCCATTTGCAGGGCAAAGCCTTTTTTCCTTCTGGCAAAATAACAATGTCCCAAGTGCGATTGAATTCTAGTGCGTCAAGTTCTTTTTCCATAGCAAGTTGCCAACCTGAATCCTTGGTTGCCTGATGGTAAGAAGTAGGTTCTTGTATTTGGACATATGGAATTTATCATTATCTGATTATCTTTTGTTAGGGCATAAAAAGCAAAAGAATGTATGGGAAGTAAAGGAGGATTAGGAGAAAAAGTAGAATATGCAGTATTACAGATATAATCTGACAAATAGATGGTTGGTGATGCTCTCTTTGTGATCGTCGCAAGACTGGCCCTTGTGGGGAGGGTAAGGCCTCTGTCGGAGGAGTAGTTTGAACTGAGGAAGGGGATACAATTGGACTAGACAGAGGGATAGGAGAGGAACTAGGACATGAATGAGATGGTAGCTGTTGAACAGGTGAACTATGAGAGTAAGCATGCTGAGGTTGTGTGGTAACAAAATTAGGAGTAGAAGACTCATGAGTAAGGAGGAAGCTGGCAGGAAATAATTTAGATATTGGAGCGGAAAAGGAGAAAGGAAAAATAGTTTCAGCAAATCTCACATCCCTTGAAACAATGACCTGGTTAGATAGTAAATTTAGAATCCTATACCCTTTCTTCCCAAATGGATATCCAAGAAAACACCAGGGGTTGCTCTAGGATCAAGCTTATCCCTATGTCGAGACAAGGTAGAACTAAAACATAAACATCCAAAAGGTCTAAGAGAGTGATAATCTGGTTGTTTATCAAAAAGAACCTGATATGGTGATCTATTTTGAAGTACCTGTTGATCAAGTACATGGCAGTCAACAAAGAGTCTCCCTAAAATTTTTTAGGGGCATGTGATTGGAAAAGAAGGGCTCTACAGGTTTCCAAAAGGTGCCTATGTTTCCGCTCTACAACACCATTTTGTTGTGGTGTTGTAACACAAAAGGTTTGATGGATTATGCCTTGTGAGGAAAAGAAATTTTTAGGAATTTGTCTTGTACCTAATTCAAAAGCATTATCAGATCTTATAACTTTAACCTTAGCAGAAAATTGTCTTTCAATAAGTGCTAAGAAGGATTTTAATGTGGGAAATGCACTGGATTTAGTATTGAGAAGAAATGTCCGAGTGCTTCTGGAAAAATCATCAACAATTGTGAGAAAATACTTCTCCTCGTTGTAAGTAGGAGTTTTATATGGTCCCCATGTGTCTATATGAATCAAATCAAAACACTTTTTGGATCTGATAGTACTAATGGGAAAAGGGAGTTTAGATTGTCTGGCTAAAGGACAAATGGTACAAGGAAATTCTTTCTTTTTTGTGAACTTTATAGGTAATCCTTTTATATGTTTCATTGCATAAAAGGGCAAATGTCCCAATCTATTATGCCACAAGCTCTCCAATTCAGTAATACTTTTATTATTACTGAAATTTTTATGACAAAAGGAATAACATGACTCTGAAGACTGAGGCACAAGGGCCTTTGACAAAGAGAAACTGGAAAAGAAACAGACTCTAAACAACTTGACTTGGACAACTGGTTGGAAGAAGACATTGGAGCAATGCTTTTGTCGGGTGTGGCTTGGATTTGAAGAGAGTTATTCTGCACCAGGTAAAGACCAGTAGAGGCATCACCAAAAACTCGACCCCTCCTCAAGGAAGGGACCTGTAAATAACAACCAATTTTGTCAAATGTCATACTACAATTGAATTGCTCACATAGTTTCTTGACTGAAAGAAGGTTATGCTTGAATGTTGGAACATGAAGCACATTATGAAGCACAACACTAGGAGACAATTGAAGCTTTCCTACACATGTAACTATTACTTTATATGAATTAGGTAAATTAACTGATATAGGTGTTCTAAGTACTACGACATCATGTAATAGAGATTTATTAAAAGTCATGTGTTGTGTAGCACCAGAGTAAATTATCCAAGGAACTCTAGGAATACTAGAAAAAAATGAAGTGAAAATATGGCAATTAGCTTCAATACCAGCCAAGTTTGCACTTGCAGTGGGTTCAGAAGTTGAGGCAATAGAACCAACTTGTCACATTGTTCCTTAGAGAACCCTTGGCCAGTAACCATATTTGAGACTGCATTTCCTCTAATTCCTGAGGTGAGAGATTCATCAACTTCTCCAACATTTACTTGTTGGTTTTCAAAATTTCCCCTATTCTGTTAATCTTGAAGTGCTGAGGATATCCTACTAATTTATAGCACTGCTGTTTTTCATGACCTGTTTTCTTGCAATATCTACAATATAAATCATTCTTTCTTGTTGGATAGTGACTTGCTCCTCTAGTTTTCATAACTTTCTTTTGTGGAGCCCATTTCTACCTAGTCATGAAAGCAGAAGAGTCATTAGGAATTTGATGAGTAGAATGTACCTCTCTTTGTGACTCCTGATGTAAAATGATAGAGTAAGCTTGTGATGTGGTAGGGAGAGGCTTCATCAACAACACATTTCCTCTGACTGTGTTGTAGGTCTCATTTAGCCCCATCAAAAATTGTATTAATTTCTGATCTTCCAACATCTTGTGATTGTGCTCCTTAGCTCCACAATTGCACTCACAACTGCATGTCATGAAAGTATTGAGTTCTTTCAGTTGGTCCCAGATCCTTTTCAGTTTGGTGAAATAAGAAGTTATATCACTAGTTCCTTGATTGATATTATTCAACTCTCTTTGAAGCTGAAATAACTTTGTACCATCAGCTTGTCCATACCTTTCCTCTAGTTCATTCCATAGATCTGCAGATGTTTGTGAGTAAATAACACTCTCAGCTATTTCTTTGCTTAGAGAATTAAGTAGTCATGCTATTACCATGTCATTGCAACGTGTCCACTGAACTAATAGAGGTGAATCTTTTTTTTTTTGGCATTGCACATGTTCCATTGATGAATCCCAATTTATTTTTGGCAGATAAAGAGATAAGGACTCCCCTTCTCCAATTTCCATAGCTGGTCCCATCAAATGTAGTATTGATGAGATTCATACCAGGAGAATCAGAAGAGGAGAGGAAATAAGGATGTGAAACATCAATCTCAATTTTGGATTTGGAAGACTGTTCTTCAGTGCCCATTCTGTAAGTGTTCAAAGAAAAGAAATGAAAAGATGAATGTAAAATTGAAAGAAGATCAGTGAGGTATTGCTCTGATACCATGAAGGAATTCAAGAAAGATGGTATGAAAATATTTTTTTATTTCTTGTGTGATATGTACAATGTTATTCCTATATTTATACAAAGAAAAGAACTATCACCGTTAGGCTACAATTTGTGTGTATCATTACATATACATGTGCCCATCACTTTAAGAGGAATAAAATGAGTTTTATATTCTAAAGTTAGAACATATTGTACATAACCTATATCCCCATGTGTCCTCCACTTTGAGTTGTCTCCTCAACTTTGAGCCTATGTCTAAACACTACTTCTTGTCGGGGCCAAAGTAATTTTTTCTGACAACAGTAACCTCTTTATTCTTCCTCAAGCCGAGTCTAGTTTCTTCTCCAACAGAAGTGATGAAACAGATTGGGTATATATGTGCATTGGTAAATGAATTATTATCACGATAACAACCTTCATGTGCATAAGTCATCACTCTGTGAAGTAATCTTGATGCATCATTTTAACTTGTGTTTCAGGAGCTCCAGCCTCCAAACTCATTGCTGTCTTCCAATGTGATTATTTGTGGCCGTCATCCATGCCCCTTCTCCTTTTGTTTTCTTCATCTGTCATATAATCTTGCTCAACTCTTTCCTTCTCTGCTCAAGTCAAAAAAGCTGTTACGGAAGTTTGTTTTGGAAATTAAATAAATAAATAAACACTTTTCCTTTTTATAGGCAAGGAAGTATAAGACACTGATGAAACTGAAGATACCAGGGCTGTAAATACAAATTTAAACTACTTGAAAGCTTTTTCCCTGATTTGGATCAGCAGTAACTTATCTGTTACCATCATAAATTTGCCTCAATAGTCAATTTTTTATTAAAAAAAATTGTAAAGACTGCAGCAAGTGACAACTAAGTTGAAACTACCAGAGAATAATTCAAATTCTTACTCATGTGGCTGTTCAATCGGAAGCGCCACAGTATAAAGCAACTGAACTTGGTTGTCGGCATCCTGAATACTCTCCGTAAGGTTTGAGCATGGCTTTTCTCCATCCAGGGATCAACATACACCCTATATAGAGAAAATAAAACTTGTGGGAATTAAACAATTCTTAAGTGAGGCACCAAAATCCATAGGGCACCCAGATACAATGTAAAACTCTCTTCTACCAACAAGAAACATAGAAAGAAGGAAAACGTAGCAAAAACCAGCAGAGGTCCAGATGGCAGCAGAGAATTGTTCAAAGGAGGAAAAATACAGTGGAAGGAAAATAAATGAGAAAACACCAGTAAATAGAGCAAAATTCAGATAATAGCAGGATAGGCGAACTAATTAACTTTAGATATCAGAGAAAATGTAGTTAGTTTTTTGTCTATATACATCCATTCCAAGCCAGTTAATCAACCAGCATAAATTCTTGGGTTTATATCGGAAGGTACCACAAAAATAGTATTACAGTGTAGAATTCAGAGATAAAGCAACCAATCATCATTTCTAAAACATACGAACTCTAAAAGACAATGCATTTCCTTTTTCCAAATGCTCGAAATATCAAATAACAAATCCAGACGTGAATTACATATGCGTGCGAATATGGCAACACACATGAGTAAAACGATTAAAATGCAAACTAAGATATCTTCCTAGACAAAGAAGCTAGTTCACAAAAACAATGAAACAACATTTGAGTTTCATTTTTTCTTTTGTCTAATAAATAATATATATTTTAAATTCTTACACCTATCTAATGACCCATAATAAACACAATATTATGCATGATAGATAAATTAGCTAGTAACTGCAGGATATATTGCTCATTTTATAGTAATAAGTTAAGATCCAACAGTTTATATTTTGAGTGCAATTCTTGTCCAACAACATCTTCTATGACAAAGCAGTAAGAAAGAAAAGAAGCAGTGGCAACAAGCGAAAGCAGTTAGAAGTTATGTCTTTATTTTATACTTTTGTAGAATTTAAATCTTTCAGGACATAATAGGCCGGTAACTAAATTTGCCGAGTATTCTGCTGTATATGCTTTCTTTTGTCTTGATAGCAAATTTCAACAATATAGGAGATTTACCACTAAATTTATCTCAACCAATGTACTCCAGTTTTTTCTCTTTTTTTAAACATCATGTAACTCCATGAAAGATGGCAGCAACCAATTTTGTCATAGCATAATTCTGCCCGTTTTGACGAAAGCTAATTATTCCTTCCACAACAGATGATTCATTTTGTACTCAAGCCCTACCATTATTTCAGCAGCTTTCAACCACAGAGATTCAGAATCGTAGTATAGGAACAATCCCACAGAGGAATAATTCATTCAGACAAATAAGCAAACACCTTATGGCCATCTCTTTACACTATCATATTTAAAGAAGAGAGCTCACATTCTTCTACCATGACAGATTTTCAGATAAAGGGAACAACTGTAATTTTAAAAAAATAAGCACATAAATATAAATCATTTTCCCAAAACCACCCATTTTTAACCTGCACCCCGAAAATTAAAATAGACACTGGCGGGCTAACTACTTTACCAGATTTAAACAATTTTAATTCAACAATGATGTCGGAAAGTAACAAAATTAAGAATACCAAATGCATAGGATTTGCAGAAAAGGTGAGAAGATTAAGGCGAAAATAGGGGAAACAAAACTCACCTAATAACTGTACATGTAACTCATATAAACGGAATACGTTGAGAAAGCTTAGAAATAAAGACAGCAGTTCAAATTGAGTTTCGTAAAGACAACATCAAGCAGGTCAAAGCAAGCGAGAGACAATATCAGCAATGATCCACGGTTTTAGCAGAGCTACACTTGCTGCTCTGTGCAGATAGATGTCCACTTGGTGCCATACAAAGACCAGCTCTCTACGCAGTGTAGGCAAGTGAAAACCACCAAAAATATCCCTGAACGACCCTAAGCTTCTCTCATTAGCGGCTAATTTATATATATATATATAGTAGTGCGGTTATGCCCGGCTAAGCCCGGACCCAATGCTATGTAAGGAATAATGTATAAATGTATATCTTTGTTTAATATTCTGTATGCCGATTCTTTGTGGTAACACTATATTGATATCATTCGGAAACTTTCTAAGTGTTTTAAAAGGACGATAGTTCGCTATATTCACCACATAGAATGAGACGAACATTTTTAGTTCAGATTGACAATCCTCTATGTCATTTACTTTTCAAAATTTATACGGTAAGACTTATATCAGGCATTATATTAAACATTGCATGCTCGTATATTTGTCCACTTTTCTTGTAATAGACAAATTAGTCAATGTACACGTTTAAAAATTTACCCAAAAATAATTTTTTCTGTCCATTACCGTAAATGATTTATTGTATGCAGTGCAAAAAAATGTTTTTAGCCTTGCGGCCATTATTGGTGTTAAACAAGTGGTAGCATCTTTGATGGTTCTTTTAAGAATTCACTTGTTTTCCCTTTAAATTTTTGAGTAGGGTTATGGAGTTAGTGGCATGAATTATAACTAACAGAAGACATTTTCTAATAATTAAGTATAACCAACTTCCTTCCGCAAATATTTATTGAACTCTTTTTCATATTAAACCAGATTAAACATAATGTGTTATAGTTTGTTCAATTCTCTTCTACTATTGTCTGCCTCTCTAAATTTTTTTTAATGATAAGGAAGCATGTATTAATAATAGCAAAAACTTACATAGAAACTACATAGTCCCGTAGGACATTACTATTGTTTAAAACCACTAGACTATTACAAACACTGGTACTTAATTGCGTAATTCCAAAACAAAGACATTTCATGTCTTTTTCCAAAAGACAATTAACAAAAAGAGGGGGCGTGCAAGGTGATAGCATTAATCAGGGTTGAAGTATTTGATTGCTTCCTTAGCTAAACGATTTGCCACTGCATTGCCTTCCCTAAACTTGTGCCTTATCACTGGGATTTTCCGTTGGTGCATCAATAACCTACAATTGAGTAAACAGTTGTTAGTAGGTGCAATATCTTCAGTAATCATTTTTATTATGTCTGTTGAATCTGATTCAATTTCTAGAGCAGCTAGTGACATATCCAGAGCTAACTTGTGGCCTTGCTCCAGTGCTAGTAGTTCTGCCTGCAAAGAGCATGTGCATAGCAAGCTTTGTAATATCCCATAATCCAGTTACCATTGCTATTTCGGAAGAACCCTCCTATACCTGCATGAAGCTTTTCTTTTAAGAAAGCACCATAAATGTTAGGCTTGATAATGGGGGGGGGGGGGGGG